TTTTTTTTTTTTTTTTTTTTTTTTTTTTTTTTTGGGGGGGGGGGGGGTGGTGCTTAGTATAAATAAACTATAAAGGACAAACCGTATTTCAATAATTAATGAAGGCCCCTATGTTATGTTTGGCTGAGGGTTAGTTCCCCTACTGAGACAGCTGAACAACGGAGAAAGTGCGCGTGGGGTGTGGTACGTGGTAATCATCCAAACATGTCCTTGCTAAGAGCACTGGAGAAATTGGCCCCGCAGTCGGGGGTGGCAGCTCGTTTAAGCCTAAACCCTGGCCCTAAACCCCATGCTGGGACTTTGCACTTTCGAGCTGTCGGGGGTTCTGGGCTGAGGCTAAATCGTAAACCTGAACCTGCATCCAAAGCCTCATGCTTTCAGAGGTGAAGCACGATTATCGAGGGGTCACCGCTACCAACTATTGCGTAGAGTTTGGGGCAACGGCAACAGGGTGAAGCCTACAGGAGTGAGCCTTGTAGATTCAATGATCCCTGGCCTTGGGAGATCCGGGATTCTCGAGGTTGAAGTTAATGTTGATTTCAGAGTTGTTCATTCGACGAGCCCCAAGCTGCAAACCCCACCGTGAACCCCGCTACACCCTTGAAGCACTGGAAACAAAAGCTGAACTGAGCAAAACCCTGCGGCACCCTTCTGAGTAAGACCCATGCAACACCGCATTAATAATTACCTGGACCCTGAAGAACCTANNTTCTTTATATAAATCCTTAAAAAGGTAGGTTCTTTGGGGTTAAGGTAGATCCAGTAACGCCTACACGAGCCCTTTCCGAGGCTGACCGGCCTCTATCGGGGAGCTGTTTTCGGAACGATTGGCCTCCTGCGTGCGCCCTAGGATACAGGACTCAGTCTAAGTTTTCCTTTAAGAAGGACCCGAAAAGCCCTAAACCCTAAGCCCCCGCTAAGCCTGAAGATCTTAGACCCCGAATACCTAAGCTTCCCTAAACCTTAGATCATTAAAGCCTGCATGATTTTATGTATACCCTTTAAGCCGTAAAATCCTAGGCGCTGTAAGCCGTGTCGGGTTTAGGATTATAGGTTTAAGGGCTGCCGGTGCGAATCCCCGAAGCCACAAATACCCGCAAACTCGAGTTAGGTGTTATTCGAACCTCCTGGACAACCGGGTAATGAACTGTGCCCTGCGGGGTTCATTCAGATGTGCATATTCACCTATGACAAGCCAGCTGATGTTGCCATGAACTATCGAATGGGAGCTTGAACTTGGAGTAGGCTCTATAACTAGTCAATCGCACCCTGAACCAGGCAATGCTTCAAGAATCGCGAGATGTCGCAAGATAACCATCGCTCATGTTCCACCTTGGACTCATAGAACCCGAAGACGCCAATCTGCAGGCTCTCTCATCTTCTGACAATGTATTAGTAATAATAGTGACGCTGTTAACAATAAGACTTTCAATAAGAGTAATCATACCAATCCTAATACAAATAATGTCAGGAATAATGCTACTAATGATCATAATGGTCCTTAGTTGCATGAGGGGTTTCAGAGTTTCTGGGAAGCCTGAACTGACAGTTCAAGGCCCGCCTTCTGCTGCTGGGTGGTGGCTTACGAGTGGCCGGAGCCCGTGGTGAGTAGTCGAGCTTTGCTTTGTGGTTTTGCTGTTTAGGGTTTAGGGTATAACGTAGGGGTCTTAATAATTGGAATAGGGTTTCGGGGTATATTATACCAATTACATTATACTTATAATAAGGAACCCCCCCAACAAAAAATAGTAAATATAGGGGCCTTCAAAGGAGTGTAGCAGTCCGGGTTTCGGATTTTAGTGTTGGGGGTTCACGTTTGTCCATGGATAGCAAGATTCCGCGTTCAAAAAGACATGCCTTGTCTTCCAGTCTTCCCTTGTAGCAGCTGTGCACCAGATTTAGGAGAGCATGTTGGTACAATGCTTGTCATCAACGCGCTGTAAGGCTTTCAGGAATCATCCTGCAGCTGCCAGGAAGTGCATTCTGTCACTGCGCAAAACCTCGCGAGAGGCCAGCTTGGGAGCCCGTAAAACCAGCCACGGAGTGGTCCTGTCACCCCAGATGACCGCGGTAGGAAATCCGTGGCTTCTTCACGCAGTGTCAGCCCTAAACCCTGAACCCCAAACCCAAAACCCCTAAACCCTAAACCCCTAAACCGCAAAACCCCAAACCCCTAAACCCCTGAACCCTGACCCTCAAAGGCCCTGACATTCAAAAACACCCGAACACCGGCTCTCAGGTCCAAGTGGCACACCTCCCGGCTCCTGTCTCCCAGCGCTGCCCCGGCTCTGGCGGCCGCCGCGGCAGAATGTGCTTGGCCTCGGGAGCTTCTGGGGATTGGGGTTTAATGTAGGGGCCCTTAAAATTTCCATAGAGTTTTGGGGTCGATCTGATAATAAGGAGCCCGCAAAATAGTATATGAGGATTTTGTGGGTCGTTGTGAACGGTAGAGATTGATGTTCACAGGGCTGTAGGGTCTGGGACGCGGGGATGTTCACGTTGCGAAGGACCAGGGAGGAAGCTCTGCAGAATCTCTGCACCCAGACTCCTCTAATCGACCTCCAGCATGTGGTAGTCTCAGCCTCCTCGGCGAGGAGAAACTTTGGTTTGAGATCCCGAGTGTTCCGTGCTCAACATCCCAAGCAAGGTTGCTGGCTGGCGCTGTCCATGCCCATCGAAAATGCTGGGCACTCGGTGCATCGTGATAGCGTCGAGATTTCCGAAGCTGTGCCGTCCCAGAGTCGGTCTTGAAAGTTGGCCGTTGCATTAGGGCCCTAAATAATTGCCTATACTGTTTTGAGGGTTCCTGATTATAGTTGTAGCATAATATACCCCAAAACTCTATTCTACTTATCAAGGCCCCTAACCCTAAACCCTCATAGTAGCCCTTATAGAACCCTTTAAGGATCCCGTTAAAGGGGCCCCGAAACCCTCTCCTAATTATTAGGGCCCCTATATTAACCTTCAAAGTTCATCTCTGCTCAGTAGACATGGCGCCAGGTCGCGGTACGAATACAGTGCCGAAATGCTGCAGTGCGGCCCCCGGGGGGGAAACGCAGGGGCCTTCCTAACCAGAAAAGTGTTTCGGGGTGTATTATACTATAACCATAATAAGGATCCTCAAAATAGCCTATAATTATAATAAGGATCCCCAAAGTAGCCTATAATTATCTAAGGATCCCCCCAAAATAGCATGGGTAGTTATTTAGG